ACGTGTGCTCTTCCGATCTAAAACGCACCACTTTATTTAGTAGTACTCCGCAGTTTTGCCTTACTTTTATGCCAAATTATCGTATAAAACAATAAAATGTCACTAACTAATTTCTTCCTTTTAAAAACCTCCAAGCAATAGCCTATATTACGTTATTTAATTTTCTTTCAGGTATACCATACAAATGCCCCAGTAAAATGCCCCTCGGTAAAATGCGATCACGAATGCAAACAAACTCCTAAAGGAAGTATATAAGTATATGTCTCTGTAAACCGGGTTATAAATTACAAAATGATAACTGCACTTGCGTAGGTAAATCTATGATGATAAACAAAAAAGCATAACAAAATTTGTATCTCGTTATTATAGCTTAACAATTTTTTTGTTTCTTAGATATTAATGAGTATCAGGCTTATGGCATATGCAATCAAGAATGCGTGAATTCACAAGGCTCATATAATTGCAAAAAGATTAAATTGTCAAAAAGATTATGTCTTGCAGAACGACAATAAAACTTGCAAAGCGCATGGTAAATTTTAATAAAATTATGATAAAATTCGCGTATGTGTAATTGTGCATATTTATTTTCATTATACTTTATAAAAATGCAAATTTTTTTTTTAATTTAGCTGGCGAGGCTACGATAGTGCTCTCCACAAGAACCGAGATTATCCCGGTGTATCTCGACTCGAAGATAATATTTAGAATTACGTCAAATTTAAATCGTGCAGTCAGTGTTGCTACGAACGGCGACGACGATATTGGTCGAATATTAAAGAAGAGAGCGAGATAATGGAAAGACAAATTCGTAACAGTAACAAACAAGAATTAATTGTTACAACAGGTAGGCGTTATTATAATGGCATTTTTAAATGTAATTTTCTTTGCATAGCATTTGCAAAAATGGAATAATTATTTTAAAATAAAAATTGTATATATTATAATTTTCTATCACACTTTTTAAATATTTTCTTGTATAAAAGTTTATCGATGATACCGGGAATAGCCGTAGATTGGATCACTGAAAATATATATTTTGCGGACATGGATTACCAGCGTATCGGAGTTTGTAATAACAACGGCACGTATTACACTGTATTAATCATGATACTGATAAACTAGAGGGAATTGCTTTATTACCAATTCATGGGTAAATATTACACACTTTGTAAAAGTTATTCTCAAATTCTATTAATTATTCTCTGATAATCTAATGATCTAAAATATCAGGAGAAGAAGAGAGAGAGAGAAATTCTTAAATCTTATGAATTGATTTATTACTTTATCTTGAGCTTAAAGGAAATTATTAGTTCTTAATAATGCTATTTGTTTTAAATCTACTCTATTGTATTTAATCTAACGTACATACTTTAGAAATTTGGATTGATAATATTATAAAATATAATTAACAGTATAACATCATTGTACAGTAAAATAATATTTATCCTTAATATTTAAATATTTATCGCCAATAAATCATTGATCCAATATTTTTAATTTTCTTTTAAAAGTATAATAAGACACACTTATTATTGAATTATAATAAGTATGTATTACATTTATAGAAAAATGTATTGGTGCGATTGGGATTCCAAACCACGTATATCAATGGCGGGAATGGATGGCAAAAACATTCACATATTTATCTCTGAAAACTTAGGATGGCCGAAAAGCATGACTATTGACTATCCGGACGATCAATTATATTGAGTGAATGCAAGTTAAAGACAATCAAATCAATACGCTTAGACGGCACTGATCGAAGAGTTAGTTGTGCGCTTGTTTCTTTTTTGTTATAAATTATAAAATATTTTAAGGTGCAATTGAAGTTCTACAAAATGTATTTATAACTCAAACAACTTGCAGTTCGTACTACCTGATATAATACAACAGTCATTTTCTTTGGCGATCTTTGAAAATAAATTGTATTGGAGCGATGAAGAATCAAAAACAAGTGTTCTGCAATAAACTGAAAAGAATTGGCAAACCTTATATCGAACTAACAAAGAACATCACCTTATAGCGTACACATCGATCACTCGGCGATAAAGCCCAAAGTATGCATCGTATTGTAATGTTACTTTTTCGTTAACAAAAAATACATTACAAAAAGTGTGTATTATTATTGTATTTAAATAAATGTAAATCGAATTTCAGATTAACAATCCATGTCATTCCAATCCGTGTTCTCAACTGTGCATGTTGAATCAGGATAAAGGATACACGTGCGCTTGTAGTATGGATAAGGAATTAAATAGGTTTGAGTTATCTTAAATAAATATATATACATCATTAATATAAAGTTTGTTAAGTTTTTTTTTATTTATCACATACTGATAAGTGTATGTTTTTTAAATACCTTCTGCAAACCATAATCGTCCTCGGTTATGGGTATACAGGTAACGGGTTCGTAGGTTTTAACAATATTATAGGAGATTTGATAGACAGTAAAGTAGAATCATATTGCTCCATAGCAGATGAATTTTTATAAATTGTTCATGGTCAAGACTTGTTTGGCAAAAATATTATATCTCTCTTCCCAAATATTACATTTCTTCAGCTCCATTAAAATCTATATTAAAAAATATTAATTTGTATATATAAATTTTACTTTAAAATAAAAAATACTTGAAATACAAAAACAACAAACAAAACAAAAAGATTTATGTTGATATCCATAAAAAATAGATATACACACAACCATACATATATTATATAAACACATATTTTAAATATGTATGTATAACACACACAATAAACCATATATTATATGTACATACATATATGTATATACAGGGTGTCTCGTACTCAATGGTACAGCGCTTGTGGGGAGGTAGTGTGGACCAAACTGAACAAAAAAGTCCTCTACCATTTTGCAAAATTCGCAATCGTTAACGAGATGTTAATTTTCGAAAATCGGCGAATAAACGCATATCCGTTCGCCTATCGCTGAATGCAAGCGCGCGACGAGATACGACCGCACCACCGCTGGTAGTTGCTATAGCCGGTAGTTAACGAGCGGTGGGACAGTCGTATCTTACCGCGCGCCTGCATTTAGCGGTATGGCGGACGGATATGCGTTTATTTACCGATCTTCAAAAATTAATATCTCGTTAACGATTGCGAATTTTGCAAAATGGTACAGGACTCTGTTCAGTTTCATCTGCTCTACCTGCCCACGAGGTCTGGTGCGGTTATTATGAGACATGTATATATGTTTGAAAGAACGTCTTATTCACATGGCGACGTATAAATAATTAAATATCAATATATCAATATTTTTTACATTGCAACATTTTTATTAACAAATAAACACAATGGTTGCGTGGAAGATGACAAACATGCGTAAAGTAAGTTATGTATTCATCCCGATTATATTTGTTAATAGTATTGTAAACGTAACTGTCAAATTAGTTAGTTCTTTAATATTTGTAACCTGAGTAAATAAATCTTATCACATGCAAGCATTGCCCTTACATTAATTTAATTTTAATTTTTTAATTTTAATTTTTTTCCGTTCTTTTCTCTTTCCTAATTCCTTTTCCGTTGCTCATAGATGTTCTATCAGTAACAAACGTTGACATTACATATCATTTCAAGTTCATATCTAAAGACTTATAGACGCAAAACGGTCACTGATTACAAAAATGTTAATTCTATTCTTTTAATGATACGGACTCTTGGATTCAGGTATTTAATTTTAATTTAATTTTATTATAATATGTTAGTTTTTTTAGTTATATATTTATTTTAGTCATTTTTTAAATTTGAATCTACAATAACTTCTACAATGTTACAAATTGCGGACTTTAACAATGACATTATTCGCCTTTGTCTCCGGTTCAAATCTGGGAGGACCGTACGTTCAGTTTACCTCGATGCGTTTTAAAGATTTGCGCCTGAATATTATGCTTTAGATGGTAAATAGTAGATTAACGAATTTTAACACTGTAGTTTTATATTTTACCGTTTTAATTTACCTGTATTAATTTTAACATTGAGAATGACCTAATACAAATCGAAAGGTTTGTTTTGTTTTAATCACTTGATGTAATTTTATTCGAGCATTAAATACCTAGCTCAGATTCGTAGCCCTTATTTAATTTATTGATTTGTTACTTTGTTGAGCCTTTTTAACTTATTATTTAATTAATAATGATGATTATCAAATAATTAAGATGAAGAACATCAACACGGTCAAAGTGGATTTCAGTGCTTAATATTTTTAAACGTGAATCTTACAATCTTTAGTTCAAGCAAACTGTAAAAAACTGCAAACTGCGCCGTATGATCATCGGTCTTAAAACATAGCTCCTAACTGAATAGTACGTAATATCACAATTACACTTACAAAGCAATTTAATTAATTGATGCTAATAAGCATCTTTTAGATCTCGTAAAATAACTTATTTTGTGAAAAATATTACCTCAATTAGTATTTGAACTTGGACCACCTTGCTATCAGGGTATGTCTTACTGTTCTACTACCAAGACATGCGATATTTTTCGCAATAACTAGTAAATGTAGGAGCAATGTCTTTCAACGACGACGTGTAGACACACAATTATTAATCTGAATGGACTGTGGAATATTTCAAATAAGTAAAATGAGAAAATGTGTCAATAAAGCGAATCTTGCTTAATAATATGTTTAAATATGAATCTTACAATCTTTAATTTAAGCAAACTAGTGTAGAAAAAGTGGCATATTCCATCTACAAATCAAACATAAATGTAAAACTATAATTTAGAACTATATAAATATTATTTAATTACCTAGTTTCCATCGCTCATGATGCAGATCATGAATAAGTTACAAGAAAACTTGTTTAATAAAATTGATCTTGTTAGAGCAATCTAACAAGATCAATTTTATTAAACAAATTTTCTCGTAACTTATTCGCGTTATCTGAATTAGCAAAATCTGCCAGCAATACCAGAAATAACAATCTCCTCGGAGTCAATACCGTTTCACGATGTACATGCTTCTGTGCCATTCATGATTTGAATAATTATTTTTTTGGATTATCTAGAAATAAAGTACATTTATGTATTTTATACATTTAATTTTTTTACTTATTTCATACTTGTAAATTGTCAACTAGTTCTAATTGTTCGTAACACTGTGATATCGTTTGAATTGAGAATGAAAAGTAATTCTACTCACTTTAAAGACGCTTTGTGTAAACACTAACTCAAACTATTGTGACTATTGCAACGTAGATTCTTGCGATTTTATACCTATTGTTATCATCATACTCATTAATTTATTCATTATTTTTATATTAAGCGTCATTAATATTCTTTTGTAATGTTGCAGTTCAAAGTATTTCCGTTTAAATAATAGAAATAAAGAGGGAAAAGGAAGAAGTAAAGAGAGACAGACATAACATGAGAAATAACATAGAAATAACATAGAAATAACATAGAAATAACATTTGTAATAAGATGACAAATTGCTAATTTTTTTAAACTAATAACAGATGACGAGCCAATACTGAACCCATTAAAGGCTTTAAACAATAATAAATAATGTTTTATAATTTGATTTCAATCTGTTCACAAAAGTGGATAATATAATAAGAAATGTATTTTAAATGGATTTGAATGTAATTTTTAATTAAAACATTAACAATCAAGGGTAAATGAGCTAAAGGCAAGATATTAGTGTCAAAAATAATTCTATTTTAAAACGGATCCGACGAGTCGGCTTCCATTAAGCCATAATCATTGGAGCAATATAATTACATTTAATTTAATATAAAATTAACAACGCAGAATATCGTTATGCTTCGCAATTGTAGAAAAATTGTTACGTTGGTTCTTTGATATCATACATCACATTGGAAGTCTATTGCAGGAATTCCCAAAATTAACAATGCGCTTATTTGTTAGTAACGTTTTCGATATGTCGTCGTTGCAATATGCCCAAATTACAGTCAAGTTGATGAGAGCGGGAATCTATTCGATAACATTAATAAAATGTAAGGAGGCATTGAAATCATACGATGGTCAAGGGATCTGTGATTTCAGATATTAAAGAAAGAAAAGACCTTAACCTTGATAAATTAATTGCGTTAATTGAGTATGTAAAAATGTAAAATTAAATAAAATTAAATAATACTAAATATTAAGAAATTCCTGTGACGTCATTGTGACGCAAAGACTTATTTCGTCAATGTCTGTTCAGTCGGTTAATCAAAGACATTCTGATAAAATCCTAACTTCTCTATAAGAAAGACGAGGAAAAAACATATAGGGGGGAGGGGGTAAGAGGAGAAGGAGAAAGGATAAAGAGAGGTAAAAGAAGAACCATTACATTATGTGGAAAACAAGGAGTTAATTAACGGGTGATAGAATTCGGAGAGAGATTTGACATCACTTTGCTTGTTTAGACCGTTTTTCTGTTTCATGATATAAATCATTTCGGATGTTAATCTTTTGTAATAATTGTCTTTCTTATCTATAACCCTGACATTATCCCAATCCATTGCGTGGTTTCCTTGCAATCTATGATTGGAATTGACAGACAAGGCATCTGTTTTTTCTTAATGTCAGAGCAATGCTCTTTTACTCAGGTTTTTAGTTGACGCTTTGTCTGACCCACATAAGTTGCGTCGCAATCCTTACAAGAGATCTTGTACACAACATTGCTTTGTGACAAAAGTTCAAGCTTGTCCTTCCCCGCTTTTATGAAATTTTTTAATGTATGAATCGAAAGGCCTGTTTTATTACAACTCTTAGCTAACTTTTAAAAACTTTTCCGATATTCCATTGATATAAGGAAAAATGAACATCTTTTTAAAAACGTCAATTGTTCCTGAGTCTTGTTTTTTATTATTGAAAAGAGATTTTAATTTGGACTTTATGGTATTGAAAATAAAAGGTAGCGGATAACATTATTAAATAAAATCTGTATGATATCCATGAGATTCTTTTCATGAAAACGTGGATTTAAGAGCAGTATAATTTTGTCCACCAAACTAAAAATGACGCCTTTTTTATATGGATGAGAAGATGATGTGAATAAAAATTGATAAATCTGCCAGAGAAAGTAGGCTTTCTAAATAAGTCAAAATGGATTCTATTATTGGAAATAATGGCAGTGACTTCTAAGAAATTGATACGATCATTCTCGCTCTTCTCCATAGTCAATTGCAAGCGTTTATGGAAACAATTAAATACTTGCAATGTTTTTTGCAGCATATTAGAATGAGTTGCTAACAAAATATCATCCACGTAACGGAAATAAAAAAATAATTGTAACAATTTTGTAGCTTCGTTCTCAATTTCTTGGAGAACCATATATAGCTACTGTTGGAGACGCCGGAGAATAATTTTTAATGTTTAGTGTTATACGAAACATTCCTTATATATAATGCAATATTATATATATTATTATTATATATATTATATATAAAATAATTAAAATTTAAACGTCTTTTTAGATAACATTTGATTTTATGATATTTAATTTTATATCAAATGTTAAATAATTATTTTTGTGTTAACTATTTTTTTCTGTTAATCTCTTTCATCGCGTTAAAACTTTTTTATACTAAACCTTCTAATAATTTTCTAATACAAGAATAATGTAAAAAATTTATTACAATTGTTTAAACCATTTTATTCGTAAAAAATATGGAAAATGTTTCCTTGAAAAGTATGGAAATTTAACTTATAGATTATTCATCTTACTCATTATTAAAGATCATCCTACACATATGGAAGCAGGATGTCAATGGAAATCAACCTTAAAAAATTTAAATATAAAAAAATTCTAATTTATTTAATAGTTTCTACATTTTTGCAAACAATAAGCAAGGTCCCAATAAATCTGAAAAGAAATAAATTACTGTACGTTGTCACAAAAATTAGAAAAAAATCGATAAACCAGAAAATTTTATTGAAATTTTTCCACATTTGTTGATACTTGATATATGTAGAAATACTTTAGTCATAACTTTCTGTCTTTTAATAGAAAGATCAAAATAGTGTTGTTGTTTGAAATAAAGTCTTTATCTTCTACAGCAGCTACAAATTTTATAACATTTGGCTCAAGTCTCTTTTTGTTACGCACATTATCGTTACATAAATAATTATTTTTATGAGATTATATATAAATAATACTCATAAATAAATAATTATCTTAGTGTAATGTTTAAATTGATATTAGAAGAATAATAAACAAATGTTTTTCCAATAACTATTGCAAATGAATAATTAATGTAAGTATTAATTAATATAATTAATATACAGTCAAAACTTGATAACTCTATCAACTTTTATAACTCGAAAACCTCTAGAAAATTTTATATATTTCCTTAAACTTACTTTAAATCGAATTGTTTGTCAGATATTTAAATGTAGTATTTTACATTTACCTCTGCAACTCGAATTCAAAGTAGACGAGACCTCTACAAGTCGAAGTTCACTGTATATAGCATATAAGTGAAACTTCTATTGTCACTGTTTTATAACGCCTCCAGTATCAGCTAAGCAAGCCAGAACAGCGATAAATGTTTTACGAAATTTTATAGAAAGATATAATAATATTGAGGACAACGTACGCTCTGCTTTGGTTACCAATAAAAATGACATTGATCAACAACGTATAAATACATTAACACAAAATAAAATTACATATTTTTTTAAAATAATTATGAATAATAGTCTGGTATTTGTTTTATGATTACATTTATTATATGTATGCAATAAATAATTCACTGTCAAATATTGAATATTTTTCCTTTATAATAGAAAAATTAAAAACTCTCGTACAGAACCTCCACAAATCGAATTTTCATATACTTATGTTAATCCTTTATTATTCGAAAACTTTGATAGGTCGAAACCTCTATAACTCGCAGATTTTAGCTTTTTCCTTAAAGTTCAGGTTATCAAGGTTCGACACTGTAATTAATGTACAAGTATTAATACAATAAACAATTAACATAAATATTAAACATAAATGTTGAATAAATATTGAAAAATATCTGTCGAATCATTGGCATATTGCAAATGAATAATTAATGTAACATAAATATTTAAATGTGCTATTAACGTTATTCAAATTATTATTGAAAATAAGATGCTTGATGATAAAGCAACATATGAAGGGTAAATAGGAAGCTATTATCGGCGCTGTTATCGGTGCGCGAAAAAATATTTAATACAATTAATTAATATAAAATATATAAAAAACGAACGTTTCGGCTACTTTCTAGCCTTCTTCAGCGCTAACATTCTTCTTAGTAAAAAAAAGTTTAATTTATGCAAAACATTATAACATAAACAAGATATTATTTATACTTTACTGATCAATATTATAACATGTCGTGTCATTCGCCGCTATCCATGTGTGAATTAAAAGATTCAATTCTTTCCATCCTAGAATCCAGTTCACCTTGGAAAATCGTGGCAATAGAATTAATTTCCTCGACACTACTATTATTAAAGAAAGAAATTTTATTAAATTTGACTTATATCATAAGCCAACGTTTTCCGGGAGATATCTCAATTTTTGGCCCCAACATCTTCTTTCACAAAAGAAAGGCATCATTCTCGTTTAGTAGACAGAGTTTTTTTTTTAATTTCACATCCAGAATTTCACAATAAAAATCGGTATTGTTGAATCGATAATGAGAATCTTATTGGAGAATAACTATCCTTTACCGTTTATATTTAAGACAATACGCGGGAAAATTAAGAACCTTATTAATAAAAAAAAACACATTAAATCAAACTTTTAATGTTTTCTTAAGCACATCAAAAGAGAAAATCTCATAGTTTACGATCTTATATGTTGAATCAATTTCCGAGAAATTTAAAAATGTTGTGAACAATCCAGGCGTCAAGTTATCGCATTTTACAACCTTAACATATTTAACAAATTATGTAAGTTTTGTAAAAGTCGATAAAGATTCTCTCCCGTCTTCTTCCCGAAAAAATGTAATAAGGTAACCAGACCCAATATGGGCTTATATGCAAAATGGCCAACTAGCTGTTTGTAAGTAATTATACAGAAAATTTAATAGATAGTAATAGAAGGGCGTGCAAATAAACCGTGTGACTCGATTGCCGTTTAATAGATCGTATTCATTCTGTTCGTGTCAATACGAGAAAATAAAAACGTCGTGGTCGATGTATAAATTTCGTAGGCACGTAATTGCTTTATATCATTACCAAAACATGGTTATCAATTTCTGTATAGTTTATAGTTA